CAATGGTATATTAACATATCAATCCAATTATTAAAAAAAGAATTAATTAATTATATATTGAAATAATTTCACTTACCGTTCTTGAAGTTAGGTCTAATTATACACGGTGCTCCTAACGTTTCAAAAATTACAAGTACCTCCCTTGAGGTTAGCTCCAACATAACACTTTGCCTCTTTCGGTAACAGTCAACGGGTCAATGGCTTTTTTTGCTTATGTCATTTTTTAATGTGAAATATCACATTTACCCTTAAAATCATGACAAGGATAATTTTAAACAGATACATGCACATATGTCCTTATATTTTTAATTGTACAATGTGTGCCTATGTATAAACTCTCTCTTCTGTTTCATTCTCTCTCTAGACCCACCACCACCACCACCACCACCACCCATTTCTCTCTCTCTCTACATACCCACCCACCACTACCCATTTTTAATGGTGTATATATATACACACATACAAACTCTATCTCTCCTCTTTCATTCTCTCTACAGACCCACCACCCATTCTTTCTCTCTACAGACCCACCACCTCCATCACCCGCGTCTTCTGGCATTTGCTTTGATCGCCACAAATTGGGCTTCGCTACTTGGATTTATGTTTAATAGTTGTTTCATATATAAATTGTCATTAAATTGCAATAAATTTGAACCTAAGCTGCACCAATTCATCCAATTTTTTTTTTTTTTTTTTCATTTGTATCACCTAAACTTTAAGTTATATGTTTATGGGTTTATTTATGTGGGTTCATTTTTGCTTCTCCCAAACGAAACCACTTTTTCTTTTAAGAATTTTGATTTTAAAAGGAAATTGATGGATTGAAATTTCCTCCTGCAAAATTCCTTGAAGATGAGTTGTGCACATGTTTGAAATTTAAGGCCAAAGCTCAAATAAGGTGTCTAATTTAGTACTGTGTTTAATTGACTTCGTTGCAGTGTGACTATGCCCCCACCCCGAAAGTAAAAAAAAAAAAAAGAGATGAAAAGCAAAGAGAAAATGGTTCAATGTGACAGATGATAGATTCTAACAAATTAACTAATAGTTGGCAGGATTGGAATCGATGGAGGCTATGGTCGCCGGAATCGATGGAGCCTCTTGCTGCCGACAGAGCAACCTCCTCCTCCTCAGCGCACCATCCACAGTCACACCTTCAAGTGGAACCGATTCAACCCATATCCATGTTCATGGTCAGGCATCTACTGCGACCACGCCACCGCCCTCCCCGACGACGACTCATAGGAGAAATACCTGAGAAAGTGGTGGGCAATGGGTAACGAGAATGGTGGGTTGAAGTGGCAGAGGTGTAGCGGAGGTGGTGGGTGGTTGATAAAAAGATAGTGAATAGATGTTGGAGAGAGAAGAGAAATGTTCTAAGGGGAAAGCTGGGTGGGTGATTTTGTCATTTTGTTAATTTTTTATTTTATAAAATAAGAATATCTTAGTCATTTAATAAGGATTTTATTAGAATTTATTACCGGTCACATTGAGAGGAGGTTTTTGTAATTTTTGAAAGTTTAGGATTGTTGTCTGTAATTAGGCCTAATCTCGAGAGAGGTAAGTGAAATTATTCTATTATATATTTTTTAAAATATGATAACCTTCTTAGAAAAGAAAAATAACTTTGATTCCATAAAATAAAATAGCGCTGATTCATAACATAAACTAAGAACACATCAACCCAATTATTAAAAAGAAAATTACATGAAACCTAGGTATCACACATACTACACACAGAAGCCTATTATTTAGTACTTATATATCCATTAGAAGTGCAACTTGGGCCGGCTAACCCAACCCAAACTCAGTTCAAAAATTTTTAAATTTAAACTTTAAATTCACAAATCAAATTGAATTGGGTTTTGTCAAAACCCAGACTCTACAAGTCACAGTTGTGAATGATATATATGATTACTTGACGGTATATATGCAAGCCCAGATTGTATTTTAGTGTTTTTTTTTTTTTTTTTTTTTTTTTCTACCCCAATAATTGTATTCCAGTATAAACAAGCCCATTGTGGTTATAAAGTAAATATACATATAGGGTATTCTCATCTGGTAGTAGCTTTTCCCATCTGAACTTCCTCACCATTTTGTAGTACTAGCTGTCCATGTTAGTCCTACTCGATCATACTTCCAATATATATATTCAATAGCTTTGAACTTGTTCTTGTCAGATTACTAATACAATTCTTTTAAGCCAAGTATATTCCAATATGAGTTTTTCCAAACAAAATGTAATTGTAAAATAGTTTGATCGACATGCACAAAATATTACTACTAAAATGAAAGGGTATTGACTAATGTACAAGCCCAGTTGGATGAAGTGTGTGGCCCAAAAAAATAATCAGACTAAACCCAAAAATATTAAAAGATAAAGGCCCATAGACCAACCCAAAACTTACAAATTGCTTGTTTGGCTGGGCTTCCTCTAGGCTCAAAACGAGCTTCCAGGCCCAGAAAGTCATTTGCCAATTATAATGAGTGTTTAGTAAAATTTCTGAAACAGACTTTTAAAAATATTTAATGGTTTAGAAGCCCGTTTTAAAGAAGCCAAGAAAACCTACTTTCAAATTCAGTTCTCACAAGTGAAACACTTTTTAAGTAAAATCTATATCTTGTCCATTATTTAAACCAATTTTTTAATTCAGCCCAATTCTTTTTTTCTCTGAATTCATCTTGCCACTCGTTCTCCTTCCATACGCCATTTGAGTTTTCAGCCATATCCATATGCTCGGTTGGTTCTCTCCTCATATCTCGTCTATTTTTTTTCCATGATATGACTCATATCCTCCTTTGACGCCTGAATTTACAAATCTCTATTGAAAGGGTAAACTACATGTTACTCCTACTCATGATTCTCTTCTATTAGCAAAAGAGGCTACTGCAAAAAACAAAAAATCACCGAACGCCTTATATTTTACGAGGTATTATTAACTAATATGTCTTCATGTACGAGCATTTGCAACATGAAGTGGGTTTGTAGAACAATAAATATATGTGTGTGTCTGGAAATTAAAGTCATGGGTTCTGGGAGCGAGGACTCTTGTTACGTATATCGAGGTGAATGAAGTCAATAAAAATGCCAATTCTAATTCCATGTTGGCTTGCACTCAGACTCATTACTCAACCGTTACGTATTTGTAATGCAACCTTAATTAGAAAGTGAATTTCTAAAGAGTCCATGGATCTAATGCACCAATGTTAAGTAGGGCTGCAACTTGGGTGGACTAACTCAACTCAACCCAAACTCAACCTGAAATTTTGAAATTTGGACTTTACATTTACAAATTGGGCTCATGTTCGGATTAAATTTTGTCAAAACCTAGACATATTCGGGTTGGACTCGGGCTAAACCCAAAACCCAAAATAAAATAAAATAAAATAATTATTTTTTTTTTTCTCTTTTCTCTCTCTCTTCTTTCTCTTTCTCTCTCTGTCGTCCCCTCTACTGCTGTTGCCGTTGCCGCTGCCGCCCCTCTTACAAACCATGATTAATTAATTTTTAAAACAAGAATTACAGTCTTATTGTCAGACCCCGATACAAAATTAATTTCATTAACATAATTTTATTTTAGTTTGACATGATTATATATGAATATTTTATGATGTGGCCTGTTTTGTGAAGTTTTGTTGTGTTAAAACTTATTAATTAAAGTAGTAACAGTCAAGTGAATGGAAAAAAAAGAAACAAAAAGAAAAATCAATAATAAGCAAAATTGTTAGATTTGATGAATACCTTTAGTATATATATTATTATATTTAATACGGTTACATTCAAAGTTCTATCTTTTTATATTGGTGACTAAGAATTAAGCTGCCAGCACTAACTCACACACATAACACGTAGTTACAGATTGATAGGTATATATAGGATTGATAAGATGGAATTGTAGTGGAGCTTTTTATCCTCTAAAAGTCTTTATTTTAATAAAAGATATATACCCATATATGGTGACTAATGGACACGTGTTGGCGTGGTAGGTAGTTAAGGAATGTGAACTGTCCTGGTATGTGATAGATATGTGCTGGCGTTATATATATATATATATATATATATATATTGTTGGTTTTAAAGTTCCGCTGGAAGCTTGTTTGGTGCCCAGTAATTGTTTTCAAAATAATATTAAATAGGTATATGAAGGTTTCTATAAAAGTTTATTATAAGGCGGTGGTGGGTCTTCACAACAGAACCAAAGAGAAATGAAGAAGAAAAAGGAAAATAGAAAATAGTGAGCTTAGCCAGACCAGCAAAGAGAATAGGGAGAGGGAAAAGAGTGAGAAAGGAAGAGAGAAAAGGAAAAAGGAAAAGAGAGTGTTGTTGGGTTGTTTGTACGAAATTAGTGAGGTGAGACCATTGGTTTTATTAATTCTATAGTAGAAGTTATTTATTTAAATTTCAGTTATATTTCATTTATTCTACTCTTAATTAATTAGGGGTGATCACGGTTCGGATCGGTTTCGGGGTAAATTCCAAGCCGAACCGGTCCCCACGGATTGGTTAAAACTGAAACCGAACCGATCCGTGGGGGCATTCAATCCGAACCAAACTGATCCATGAGTTAACAGATCGGATCGGACCGGTTCCCACGGATTGGGCTTTTCAAACAACCCATTCAATTATGGCCAATTATCAGCATTCAATTATGGCCCATTATCAGCAATATAGTAGATTTGTAAATCCATATACTTAATAACAATTATAACAGCAATAGATTTATATAACAGCAATAAAATTTCAAAATATATTTGGCCTATATAAATACCACCACAAACTTAAATTACCTAATAACAAAAAAAAAAAATTGTAAACCATCCAGAAGTGAAAATAATATTACAGTACCAAATGTAAAGTATCCAAATAGAACAAAACAAAATACTTAAATAGTTGCCCAGTAACTCATTAGCATAGAGAAAAAAAATAGCACAATAAAACATTAAACAACAGTCTTGACTAGCAGCAAAATAAGTCTGAAAATGGCAACAAGCAAGGCTAGTTCTCAATCTGAATATGAAACTGTAGTCACATCTACAAAATAACATAATTTAATTAAAAATCCATAATATAATATTTATTTATAAATTGAATAAAAATGTAACAAATTGTTAACACTTACCAGAGTCGTATTGTTCAAGTTGCTCCAACTTTTCTTCAACATCAATTGGTGTTGGTGAAGCCTGTAACCAATCTTGTGTACAAATTAAGCATTCCACAAGCTTTGGAGTTAAAGAACTACGAAATTGATCAAGCACACGACCTCCAGTGCTAAAAGCGGACTCCGAAGCAACAGTAGAGACTGGAACAGCTAGAATATCTCTTGCAATTTCAGAGAGTATTGTATACCTACTTCCGTTCACCTTCCACCAATTCAAGATGTCAAATTCTGGAACAACATCTTCACAAGCTTCCTCCAAATATTTTTCCACTTCCGACTTGGGAGTAGAACTTTCTTTTTGTATCTTGCACTTTATGTACAAAGAGGAAAAATCATCTTCCACATTTCCATCATCAACTCCCACCTCATTTGCAATATTACTTGTTCCACTAGAACTTGAAGTAAATGCATGAAACTTTACATATTCACTAAAAATGCAGTTGAATGTATCCATTACCTTTTTACTAAGATTATGAACCATTTCAATAGAATAAAGTTGGGAATAACAAAATTCCACAAATTTCAATTTATAACGAGGATCCAGCACAACCGCAAGCACCACCAACATGTTCACTTTTTCAATGCTTCCCCAATATTTGTCAAATTTAATTTTCATTTTTGTTGCCATATTACTTAACCAAATATCGGGACTCTTTGACCATGTATTTAACGACTTTTCAATTCCCAACACTTCATGAAAATATCTATTGGAAGTAACATACAAAGATCCGAAAAGCTTGTTAGTGGCGTCATAAATTTTTTTTAAAAAAACAATCAAAACTCGAGCATATTCCCAATCAGTACTAGAAGGAGCTTTATTATTAACTTCCGGTAGGAATTGAATATCATCATCTTCTAACCTTTCAAAAGTTTTTTGAAACTTTACGGCTACCTCTAACATAAGGTATGTGGAATTCCATCTAGTTGAAACATTTAGGCACAAATGTGACTTAAATGTTATATTCTCCCTCTTCACACATGCTTGAAAACGCTCTCCCCGTTGTGGAGAACTCCTAACATACTTCATAGCCTCACGAATTCGAACTATTGAACCATTTACATCACTCAAACCATCTTTCACAATCAAATTCAATATATGTGCACAACACCTCATATGAAAACATTCACCACCTAAAAGGAAAAAGCCAACATTCCTAGAAAGCTTATTTTCTTTCAAATATGCAACCGCAAGATCATTTGAACTAGCATTATCAACCGTGAGTGTACACAATTTGTCTATACCCCAATCAAGCAAACAAGTCTCAACTACACGACCAATTTCCTTACCCTTGTGACTAGGCATTATACAAAAATTCAGAATTCTTTTGTGTAAGGTCCAATTCTTATCAATGAAATTAGCCGTGAGACACATATAAGAAAGATTTTGAATTGACGTCCATATATCAGTGGTGAAACAAATTCTTTGATTGAGTTGACTCACTAAGGTTTTCAACTTCTTCTTTTCTATAGCATACAATGCCAAACAGTCCCTAACTACAGTAAAACGTGACAACAATTTGAATTTTGGTTGCAAGACACTAAGAAAATAACGAAAACCTTCACGTTCAACAAACTTGAAAGGTAATTCATCAATGATAATCATTTTGGTAAGTGTTTGTCTACACAACTCTTCATCAAATTTCCAAGAAACCATAACACCCTCTCCTTCAGTAGTTGACTGAAACAAAATGAGTTTTTGTTTCTTGTCAACATTAAATGGATATTGTTGGCATCTACTTATGTGGTTCCTCAATGTACTTGTCCCATTTCCACTAGACCATGAATAAGATGCACTACAATAGTTGCATTTCACATTACATTTCGACTTAGTATAGTTAGGGCCTTTCTCTTTTGTGAAATGGTCCCAAACATCATATATGAAACGTTTTTTGGTAGGACATACCTGCGTGTTTAAATCATCATCATTGGTGCCAGTAACAGTAACTTCTGCAGTTGTCATCTGTCAGGAAAAGAAATTGTTACAAAAATTAGTGGAAGATTGCCATAAAATTAGATTTAGAACTTTCTACATAAAAAAATAAATTAAATAAAAAATACCAAAACTATTTATCTACGAAACTGAAATACTGGATGTTAAATTTATAAAAAAATACTGAAATAAAATTAGTTATAGAAGTAGTTTATATGTTTTCTTCTAATGTGTTATACTGGTCAGAGATGGTCGCAATTATTAAAGAGTCACTAAAGAGAAACTAAAATGACTATGAAAGCTTTAAAATAACTATTATCTTTAATTGGTTGAAAACAAGAAAGTTGGAATAGAACTGCAACACAATAACATGTTTTTCAAATGTAATAAAATTTGTCTGTACGCGCGCATGGATGACCACATGTTGTGTTACAAAAAATGTTCTATACAAAACAAAAATTAAAATTTTATTTTTGGTATTTCATATTACAAAAAATACCAAAACTGTTTATCCACGAAACTGTTTATCTACGAAATATCTTTCAAAACTGTTTCTATTTTATATTTTTGTTGTTAAATTCATAAAAAAATACTGAAATAAAATCATTACAAAAAATGTTGTATACAAAACAAAAATTAAAATTTTATTTTGGTATTTCATATTACAAAAAACACCAAAACTGTTTATCTATTTTATCTACGAAATAATGAAATATGATCAATATCTTTCAAAACTGTTTTTATTTCATATTTGGTAACTTAAATCTAAAAGTAGAATATATATATATGTATACACACATTAGATAAAATCATTACAAAAAATTAAGTAAAATATTTGGTAACTTACGGGAACTTCTATACAAAACAAAAATTAAAATATGTAGATAAAATCATAAAATTAAGTAGATCCATGTAAAAAATGTTCAGAAGAGAAGAGAATAAGTAGATCCATGTAAAAAATGTTCAGAGAAGAAGAGAATAAGAAGATTCATTCAAAAATCTTGTGAACTCACCGGAAAAGAGGTAGATCCAGTCGAAGAGGTCGCCGTTGCTTCGATACACAGAGGCCGTCGTTCCTTCGAATCTGGTGAATGATGGTTGAGAGGTGTTGGATTTAGAGACGAGAGATTGGGAGGCGAGAGTTTGGGAGAGGCGAAGAGTGTCACAGACTCATAGAGGCGAGAGGAGAAGAGAAGACCGAAGAGGGTGAAGTCTGAAGAGAAGAGGCTGAGTTAGTGAGGGAGGCACGGTTGAAATAAAATTAGAGTAATGTCGTAATGAAGAGGCGAGGCTGAGTTAGGGTTAGGTTAACATTAAAAGAATAATGAATAAAGAAAAAAAAAAACGATATACCATTATATTCATATATTGTGTGTGTGTGTGTGTGTGTATATATGTATATATATATATATATATAATATTATATATATATATATATAATATTAATATATTATTCAGTAATGGTTCGGTTCGGTTTGTCTAGCGGTTCGGATTGGCAACGGTTCGGTTCGGATCGGTTAACGGATCGGATAGGATTTTTCAGGGGCTAAATTGTGATACCCCTCGGATCCGAGACACTGGTTGATCAGGCCCAGGCCCAAACCCGAGGGATATCAAACAATTAATATGTTATAACGAATACGGAATACAAAAGTGATTAAAGAGATAAAATTTAAGCTGAAAGAAACTAAAATAAATCCTCAAATATAAATATTTAAACCTTTACAATCCAAACTCCATAAGTTTACAACTCGGGAATCCATCTCTAGGGGACCCCCAATAAAATCCCAAAATGCATGGAAGTAAAACTGAAGATAAAATCCAAATCTAATATCTGGAAAGAAGTCCTACGTCGTCGGTAGAATAGAAGTCTGTATCTACTCTGCATGATTAAACTCTAACCCTGGAACTGACGAGTACATGAAAAATATAAGAGTGGGTCAGGCCCACATGCAAGTCCTGATCTACTACAATCCAAACAGGAATCCGATACGCAGATACATCCTAGAAAGACTCAACAATATCTAGAGTAGTCCATATATGTATATATAGTACACACTATAGGACGTTCGCTAGTCTAGTAGGTCTGTCTCAGCCTGAATAGAAGGCAACATGCGAATACGCACCCGAAGGTGGGCATGAGTACCTAGACCTACCAGAGAACAACACCTATGTCCAGTTATCCATCCTAGGCGATATACGCGCCCTAACCATGGTCCTGAGACTCAAGCTCATACCATGGCACCTATCATAAATATATAAAGTCCGTTCAAGGTGTGTCATTCAAAAAGTTTATTGACCTGACACATAGTTATAAGTAGGACTTAACTTTTGTAGTTAATCCATCTTATTTCAAAATAGGTAGGACTTAGTGTTTAGAACTAATCCATCCCTAAAGTAGGTAGGTCTTAGTGTTTGAACTAAGCCATCCCTAATATGCCACCGTCCCATACCGGTGCATATACATCCAGATAAGTAGGACTTAACTTTTATAGTTAATCCAACTTATTTCAGAATAGGTAGGACTTAGTATTTTATACTAATCCGTCCCTAGCATAGGTAGGTCTTAGTGTTTTGAACGAAGCCGTCCCTAGTATGTCACCGTCCCATACCGGTGCATACAAACCTCCATACACACGTAGTTGACAAAATAGTATAAATATATATCAACTACACTCCAGAATTTAGCATAAATATAGTCCAACATGTATATGGCCAATTAATGCATCCAAAATAAGATTTAGGAATAATCAACAACCATCCTCCAGTATATGCATTTGTATAAATTCATACATATATCAATATTAGGTATTCACTACAGAACCTAAATATCATGCTCCAACGGTTTAAATAGCTAGAATAAGACATAGCATTTAAATCCTCCAAAACGGCCAATAAATTGATACAAATTAAACAAATTAAATATTAATTTAAATCCAACTAAGTATAGATAAATATAATTAATTTACCATACTTATAACACAGTAAAAATATAGAGTTATATATAATTGAATTATATACAAAACTTTGCCAAGTTCCAGTTATATAAACCTAGCAAAAACAGTGCAACGTATAACCATTATTTGAACTGTTCATTGCTCCTTCCCTTAAACCATTATTGTATTAAATATTTTCAACATTTATTTAAGTCCCTAACATTTAATTACATCTCACAGTATCATTTAAACAGCTTTAGAAAGCACTGTACAGCCAAACAGCCCCTAAAACTCGTTTCTGGGCAATTCAAGAAAGAGCAGGCTCAATTAAAACATTGAGCCTGCTCTAAATTTAGGTTAGAGCCGGCTCCTTCAGCATTGAGCCGGCTCCATCTTCCTAATAGAGCCGGCTCCATCCTCTTTGAGCCGGCTCTAAGGTGATTTTAGAGCCTGTTCCTTCTCCGTTGCAGTCTACGTCCGTTCTAGCTTCATCTTCTTCAACTCCGGTGATTACAGAGCCTCTGTGGTGTGTTCTAATTCTTATTCTAGGTTCAATCTTAGTACTAAATAAGTTTAAACCACTGAGTTCTAATCCTAACATGTGTAGGAACACAAGTTTTAAAGCCCCGTTTACAGAACCTCTGTTAGCAAATCCTAAGCAAGTTGCAACAGATTTAATTCAGATAAATTTGGTGCAATTAAATTCTATTTTAAACACTTGTTCTGGAGTTCCAATTCAGTCCCAGATTAGTCAACAAACAATGATATACAATCAAAACTTAAATTGAAACACAAGTTGATTCACAGCGGCAGCAAGGTTACAAGTTAATTTTCTTAAAGCAACCAAGAACAGATTAATACCATCAATTTAATTACTGATTAAACATGCATAATAGATATAATTAGGCCTTAGTTTAATCCCTGGAGTCTTCCTAAGCATGCACAGAACACAGACTAAAGGGATAGAATAGAACAGAACTTGCCTTGAGACTTTGGTTTAAAAACCCCCAACTGTTGTCTCTATCTTCTTTGGCTACTTTGGTTGTATCAAACAGCCTCTGCTGCTCCTAATTCAGTCCCGAACTCCTCCTTGAATCACTCAAGTTCACTATGTGTTTCCCCTGAATCTTTCTCTCTGTTTTCTCTCTATCACATTGTATACGTGATTATGGTGAATATGGTTTTTATTTGTAACCCTAAATCAACGTATAAACAATATATATATAGACACTACAGAAACCCTAAGTCCATACAGATATCACTCGGCCCATAGGTAATCCTAGGTTATAACAGTGTCGGCTATGATAAAACCTAAAACCCTAAGTTACAATTAATGCATTTAAAACACATTAAACCAATTAACATAAATAAATAAATAAACAATTAAAACAATTAAATTAAAACTAAAAATAAAACATTTAATTCAAATAAAATCAAATAATACACCAATTAATGAAAATACACACTTAAACAATTTTAAAATGCAATAAAATAATTAATAAAAATATCAGAATTATCCTTTTGAATTTAGGGGTATTACATAAACCGTTAACCGAACCGCGGATATCAGATTGCAGAATTTTCAAACCATCACCGAACCATGAGATCTAAAAACCGAACCGAACCACACGGATCGGATTGGTTCGGACCGGATTAACGGATTATTTGCTCACCCCTATAATTAATTGCTTTAATTGTGGTCTTGCATAAGTTAATACAATTGTAGTTGGATTCAAGTACCATACGTGAGATTTAATCTAATTAATATGATTTGAAATTGTGACTACAATTGCGGAGGATTTGAGATTTATTTTGGAGGTGATGAGTATTATTTAATTTTATGTAGAAATAAATATAACATGATTATAATATTTTTCAGGCAAGGAGACAGAAAGGACGACATCGACACGACTGTAGGACAAATAAATAAATTGAAAAGTAGCCAAGGTGAGTGTACTCACTGAAAGTTTTATACCTGAATGTGATAATTGAAGTATTGAGAATGTTTATATGAAATGAAGATGTTGATATAATGTGAATATATTATATAAGGTCCATACTCTAGCCTGGAAAGAGAGTACTACATTAAATAAG